AAAACACTTTGCACAAAAAACCAAATCCACGCCGACCTAGGAAAGAGGAAAAAGGGAAACTCTGAAAAAAAGCTAAACTTGTACACAAGCCCGATTTTGTATCCCTTTTCCCATGATACGCAAACTCACAAGGCAACAAAAGCCAACTGATTAACCTTGTTATATCGTGAGAAAGAAGGGAAGGGTTTTGATCAAGAGGGGCCATTCATCTGGATAAAACAGCTCCTCTTGGTCATACCCGTAATCGTAGAGACGAAGACCAACCAAGTCAGTCCTCTATTTTCTCCGCTTCTTGGGTGCCGCGCGTTCCTCCTCGTCGTCGAAGCCACTCTCCCTGTCACGCTTCTTGGCCTTCCTCTCCAGCTCATCCCAATCCTCGCCCTCCTCTTCCTCGCTGTCTTCCGCCTCATCGCTGGCCTCCTCGGAGGCGTTGGAATCGTACTCGGAATCCTCTTCGCTGGACTCGGAAGCGTCCTCCAACTCACTCTCACTAATCTCGAAGGCGCTCTCCTCTTCCTCCTCCTCGACTTCATCGTCGTCGCTGTCGTTCTGCAGGAAGCCCCAGCCGCCATCCAAGAAGAACTGATGGGTATTGGCAGTGACAGTCTTCATGATGACGCCCCAGTTGAGGTTGAGAGGACCCTCTGAGAAGGCAATGTCGGACGAGTCGAGGAACTCCTTGACGTCCTCCAGAGATTCGACAGGAATTGTGTTGATGTGGTATGGTGGCCTTGTGAAATCTTTGAAGACAAACACTAGATCGAAGTTTTTGAGACCGAACTGGACGCGTTCCAGATGGGCGACTTCGATGTCCTCTAGGGTGATGACCATAAATGGAGGCTCGGTGATTTGGATGAGACACTCCGTGGTCGGCTGGATGTACACGTTACTGCGGAACGGCACACCGTTGAAGCCGAGGTCACGGAGCGGCATATCCACCTCAATGCCCTCGTTGCGGCCCGCTTCAGCAATCTTTTCCGCGAACGACTTGAACAGGCGGTCAAGCTCTGCGCGGCGCCGGCGTTCCTCCTGTTCGGCCTCGAACTCATCCTCGTCGCCGTAACGATACTTGCGCTTCCTATTGCCGGTCTCGTCGAACTGAATGTCGGTGGCTTCCCTGTAAAATTGGACATCCTTCGTCTTCTTCTTGTTTCCAATGATAATGGGATCCTTGAGGTGGATGTGGATGATCACGATCAACTCGTGCTGGCACGGTTGGAAGAAGAGGTGGCGAACGTTGGAGAAGAGGATATCCACGCGTTGCGTTGTGCTGAGAGGTGACTGGTAGCGAATACCGTTCTGGTGAATCTCCACCTTACCAGGCACACGCTTGCCCTCCATGGCCGGCCGGATGAAGACATTATCCAATACGGCGGGCCGACGGTCTGAAATTTGGTCAGTATGTTGTAGTAACAGTTGTTCCAGGTAAGCGACTTACTTCTGATTTCAACGAGCTTGTCCTGCTCAACTACATCCTCCATATCCTTCTTCTCCTGCTCCTTCTTGACAGCGTCTCGTTTGAGGTTCGAGATTTGGTTTGCAATGTCGGCATACCTGTCGCCATCAGTTGATTTGAAAGTCAAGCTCCTGACGAAGTGCGCAGATGCATCTTCGAAGGGCTGCTCATCCTTGCGACCCACACCCTGGCCAGGAGATAAGAAGTTGATTCTCAAGAAAGACCACTCGCCCTCATCACTCTTGCTCGCGTTCTTGATGGTGTTAATGTGGAAGGGTACCGGCCTGCCCATGACAGGGAGCACAATGGTGGCGTTCTTTTGGTCGATGACGATGCCCATATCCTTGACCTTGGGCGGGAATTGGTTATCCCGCTTGTAAGATTCGAAGCGCTTGAACTTCTTGATTTCGACACCGTTCTCATCGGCGGTGGACTCGGCGTACTTGGCCAAACCCTCCTTCTGCTTCTTCTGCGCAAGTTCCTTCTGATGCTCGCGACGTCTCTTGTCCGCGTCCTCGTCTACCGTTGTGTTACGCTCAGAGCGCAGACGAGTGCTGGTGATGTTTTTAGTTGCAACAGCACCCACCCTGGAGTCCCGCTTCTCCTTCTTTGGAGTGGGCTGCGCTTCTTCCTCATCTTTAAAGAAGAACGAGGTCGCATCAACGTCCACAGGCGCTTCGCCAGTGAACACCACCGGCTCGGAGCTAGTGACACGGATCGTATCGGTAAGGATCAAGGAATAAACCTTGCTGTTCTTGTCCTGGGGGTTGGGGTTCTGAATATCACTGAAGCCGGTGGTCACAACCAATGTCATGCCATCCTTGAGGGTGCGAGTGTTCTTGCCATTAAGAATCAATGTCGGATCCTTATTCTCGAGGCCGATTCCAAAGCCGACGTTCTTGAGGAAGTGCTTCTCAAGGTCGGGCTTCTTGGACCGCACAAAGCTGTAGGCCTTGTTGTACACATCCTTGACAGTGGCACCATCCCGAATCTCCTTGAGAATGAGGTTGTGGACAGCAAGTAGGAACTTGTAGTTGCTTTCTTGGGACTTGTTGGGGTCGACCATGAAGGTTCTGGCAATCTGGGAGCAGTAGGACTTGTATCTGAGTCCCATAGCCGCGATGATAATTCCCGGGTGGAGAATATCATTGTCAGAGTCAGCCTGCCACTTCAGATCGAATTTGCCACCACTTTGGACGATGGGACCAAGAATCCAGTCCAACTGTTCGGGATCGAGGTCAGCCGGGAGCTTCTGTCGGTTGGGCAGCTCGACGGTCTTCCAAAACTTGTCGTCTTCCAGTTTGTTGAAAACCTTGTCGGCTAGCGCGCTGTGCTTGATCTTCTTGTCTTGGTCGAGGATATTGGACATTTCGTCGAGGAAGTAGGGGGTCAGGAGGGCGACGCAAGCCTTGGACGAGGTGCGCATGGCGCGAAGCTCGGTCTCATCCTTGACAGAGAAGGCGCCAGCAGACAGAGCCTGGGCAACGTCAACTTCCTCCACATCCTTGCAGTTATCGGCGTAAACCTTCTTCCATTCGTCGATAAAGGGGCCCTTGGAGGTGTCCTTGGTAAGGACGCCAACCTTCTTCTGTAACGAGGGGAGAGTTTGTTAGAACTGCACCAAGAACATGATATGCGCCCAAAAAATGATGTAACTTACGCCCGCGGCCTTGATGGCATCCGTGATCTTGACGAAAAGCTTCTCGTTCTCGGCGGCATCCTTGCCTCGTACGAGGACCTCAACGGGGTATCTGCCGCCCTTCACTTGGTCGAGGTACTTGGCTATTAAAGTGTCAGATGGTTTATCGGCGTTGTTGGGTCGGGAGTATCGAGCGAACCTTTCTTTTGGGTGGTAAGAATGTAGATGGTGTCGAGGGTAAAGAGCATGAGGGTCGTCGGGAACTCGTATCCTAGCAGCCAGAACTTTACGTAGAGCTATCAGCAGCTGTCTTTTGACTAGAATGGCGCACCAGACGCACAGCCAGCGCGCGCCAAGCGTACTCTCCAGGAGGGTATAACTCACATGCATAGCGTTGTTCTTGTGGAACTCGGGGTTCTCGTCGACCTTGCCCATCAAAACGACGATGGAGGAGACGCCACCGAAGAGGGCATCCCCGGAGCGCTTGTCGGCCTTCCAGGCATTGTAGAAGTGCGAGACGCGCTCCTGAAAGACCTTGCTGTCGATTTGGATGTCTGCCATGATGAGCGACGGCACAGCGGCGCGCGAGTGAAAATGGCAGAAACAATCAAAACAGCAGAGGTTTGTGTTTGGGTGAAGTCGTGCTTTTTGCGAGGGGCTGCTTGCTCTGGTACTGACGGTGGCGGCAGACACCCTTCAGGATGAACAAGGCCAAGATACCACACCTCTCCAGCGGCACTGCTACAGTGCCTGCCAGCCGGGGTCCGGACTCCGGTCCCACTGCAGGCCAAGACACAAAAATTCCCGTGTCGCGCGTCGCTCACGTCACGGACCACAGCTCTTGGCGCCCCTGTCCACTGTCTCGCGTTGGGATGCCTAAGAGGTTTTCTGTTATGCCTCAGGCAGCTATTAATCCGCTGGTTGCCACGGCAATGGTGGCATTCGTAAGAGCTGCAGAGTATCAGTTGGCAGTTTTAAAAGCCAACTGTGATGAACACGGGAGGATTGTATGAGGATGCGGATGAACGAAGATAATATCGGAGTGAAAGTCTTGTCGTTGTGACTTCCAACTGCTTGCGTTCCTGATGTTTCCAGGTCGAACTTGTACCTCTCCTGTAAAAGGTGCATGCAGATGAAAGAGGGACGGCGGGACTGGGCGCTGGAAACGGATGGGTGGGGCTCGACAGGTGCGATTAAGGTCTTGGCAAGCGAAGCTCTCGGGGACCTTCCGAACTTCTTCAGTTCCACTTCAAACACAGAACTCTCCCCTTTCGCTTTTTCCTTCGACATGAAGCCCAAACAGCGATCAACTTAAACAATGCACCACAATCATTGAGAAACGGGCGCCAGCCACAACTGCGTCAGAACGACAACCATATCATCTTTAAGAAAGGACCCGATGGGACTAGGGATCGCGTATGAACACCAGTGTATGCATCTTGGAAAACCAGGGAGGGGCTTCGTTATAAATGGAAACCATCTTCCTTGACGGAGCAACATCCTCCCAATTGCGACATGAACTGAACACCGCAAGACACCGCCGTTGAATGTAAAGGAACGATGAATACCCGACTGGTTAGCGTCAATGAATCGTGGAAGATGACGAACGATGCTCATCGAATCAATCACTTAGTCACGACTTGACCATCGTTCACTACAAATCCAACTGCTGTATTGCAGAATACTTCCCGCTGCTGTATCAATGGCCATTTGGGCATCTTCTGAGCTCTAGTTCGGTAAACTCGAAACCACATATCGAAAGGACCAGACCACTCTGATGGAAGACCCGCGGCTATCTGCCCAGAATCACCAGGGGGGCCCTTGTGCTGAATTCTCCTACCTAGGATTGAGTTATGATGAGCCTCCTACCCGGCAAGCCATCCATCAAGTATTCACACGATTCTCTCCAATCCCATCTGGCTGATGATTCAATCCGGTCCCTCAAGCGGAGCAAAGTGGTGGATCCACCGGGAGCCATTCGGGACGGCCCATCGGCTGCCGGTGCAGCGGCTGTCCCGCACGAACCGGAGCACGTCAGCGCCATCCGGCCCCACTTCCCCAGATTCGGAAATGAAGAACGACAAATCTCAAAAAGTTCAAGGTCGTTTTCTTCGTGGTCCAACATCACCACTCTCACATACACGAATTCCAGAATCTGTACATAGGAAAAACGGGTCGTAATAATAAGTCAAAATGGTTTGTGAACAGTTCCCATTAATCAAATCATGGTTTTCTCAGGCAGTTGGACTCTCATCGCGCATACTAGCTACTAGCTACACCCACTCTGCCAAACCCGCTTAGACTAACCCATTCTCCATCATGTAGGTCCACGCCGACGCTTCCAACTTTGCCGCCGACATTACCAAGGAGGAGGCCTACCAGCAGGTTCTCGACCAAGCTGAAGGTCTCTTCTATGAGCAGAGGAACTGGGTAAGCTGAAAACCCGAAGCCTGCTTGGGGAACGCTCTCAAAAGATACGATGTCTAATATGATGGCCTGAATCATTCACATATATTAGGTTTGGTAAGTCAGCTTTAACTTCCCATTGAACCCCATTGCCTTTTCTCGGGGGATCCCTCTTGAAGATACACAAAGCGAATGTACACGAAGTCACTGAATCCTAACGCGACTCTTTCGTTTAAAACAGCAATCTGTCCAACTGCGCTTCACTTCTCTGGCACGCCTTCAAGTCGCTTCCTGCTCCGAGCAACCAGGTTAACTGGGCTGGTGAGTACTTGTTTGTTTCCGTTTTTGTTCAAGAACCAACTCAGCTTTTCTCCCTACCTCTACTTACTCAACAGGCCTTCTCTACCCCTTTCCCCTTAAAACCCTCTACCTCTTCAAAATATCCTGTCCGATTCATACACCCTCTTCGTCTCTGTCCTGAACACTCTCCTGCCTCTCAGAAGCACTTACACATCCACTTATCACCTCAACTCACCCCCTTGACCTCCCACCTCACCTCACCTCACTTCCCCTTCCTTCACCTCCTTTGACCTCCCTTCTCCTCCCTCCCCAAAAACCCAAACTAACCACCGCAACAGGTTTCTACACCCTCAACCACCCCTCCACCACCGAACTCATCCTAGGCCCCTTCCAAGGCAAAGTAGCCTGCCAAACCATCGCCTTCAGCCGGGGCGTATGCGGCGCGGCAGCCGCCACCAAGACCACCCAGCTCGTTCCCGACGTCGACGCCTTCCCCGGTCACATCGCCTGCGACGGCGACAGCAAGAGCGAGATTGTGGTTCCCATCGTCGTTGACGACAAGGTGGTGGCTATCATCGATGTGGATTGCGCGGAACTGAATGGGTTCGATCAGGTTGATAAGGTGTGGTTGGAGAAGTTGGCGGATTTGGTCGCGAGGAGTTGTGATTGGCCTTGAGCGTGACGAGACGAGGGGGTGAGGAGTGTATGATGGGAGGAGGATAAAGGGTAGGAAGGATGGTTGGTTGGGGCTTAAAACTGAAGGGGTTGCGAATAGAGTGAGGCTTCGGGTTGTTAACGTGCTGCTGAGATATAGATGGGAACATGTATCAGAATTGAATGGTATAGAACTCGTCCCCTCTTTCACAGAAAGAACGAAGTGGTTTCACAGTCCACCCACCCCATACCTTCCTTCACGGAGGGCAAACCGACACCATCGGACGAAATCTGGACCACCTGCGCCGCCGCGCTTGCCCTTAATAAGCAGCCAGTCCGCTCAACTGATCCCATTGAGGGTCTCTTCAGTGTGCCGTACCCCCCGCGGCCGTCGACGGAGGTCCCGCGTTCGACTCGGTTGCACGTCACGATTTCTTTCGAGTAAAGCTTGGATTTCGGATGTCGACACGTCCTCCGTACTCGTTCCCGAGGAGAATAGTAGTGCCCTGCTACTGTGAATCTTGCTTTATTTTTCAAATTTCTTTTTTTTTCCCTTTTTGATTCATTTCCTTTTTATATCGGCTGGCGAGTGAGGCAAAGGCGAGATATGTCATATGAGGACCAGGTAGTAAGAAGTGGCTTTCCTTTTTTACGAAATACCGACGACACAACCACTTCCCGGTTCTTGCTGTGAAAGAAGGGGTGAGTTCTATAACCCCCATTCTGCCTTTGTTAAACAAGTACATAACACTACTCTAGAAGCGGACACTTACACGCTCAAGTCGACGTGATGAGCAGGCTGGCAGAAAATTTTAAGGAGAAGAATAAGAACTAGTTCCAAATGTAGGTGATTACAATGATGTCCAGACTCGAAGACATTGTCTCACAATGGGTCACGGTTTCACGTTCTTAACACGAAATCCTGAAGAAAAAAGACATTATTCTATAGTATACAATGCACTCCGCTATCCAGCTGGACGGCAGCTATCAACGCCTCGTCATCAACTGGTAGATCTAGCAAACTTCAAGCTACATCGTTTCCTCATTTAGAGAAGAAGGGTACCGGTCAAGGTGAAGAACATGACCAATCCGGTGACAACGAAAGGAGCCTTGTCAACGGGACCGATACCGCGGGTGCTTCCGGCATTCTCACTCTGGCTGCTGGAAGGAGAAGCAGTGTTCGTGGAAGATCCAGAACCCGGTTGGGCGTCGCCAGTGCTAGTACCCTGGGCCTGCTGAGAGCCCTCACCCTTCAGACCGGGGCCAGTTCCAGCGCCATCCTTCATGAACTGTTATAATTTGTTAGTTAGATACCGTTAAGGTTTATGATTAAAACGATTCTCCTTACCTTCTTGGCACCCTCGGGAATAGCAGGCAGCAAAGTAGAGTCGACCATCCAGTTGGAGTCCTTGGTAGGGCAAGCAGCGGCCTTGGTAGTCGAGGTGAAGCCACCATCACCAGTGGGCGCCGGGTACTTGCTCAAGGCCTTGACGAAGTTGGCGAATTCGGGCTTCTCCTCAACCTTGCTTCCAGGTCCGAGCTTGGCAATTCCGTATCCGTTCGCCTCCAGTGCATACTCGTACATGAGACCTCCCGAGTAGACGCTGGTCATCTTGTCGCTCATGAGAGCCCCCATCTCGCCGAAGTCGCGGGTGTTCGTGATGCAACCATACTCAGAAAGGCTTATAAGAAGGTCAGTTATGCTGGTTTTGCAAGTTTCTCGGCGGAAAGTTGAGACTTACAAAATGGGGATGCCGTAACCAGTGAAGTTCTTCACCTTTTGGTCCCAGCCGGAGCTCACGAAGTCCGAACTGCACCAGGAATAATCGTTCTGTATCTCACGTTAGGTTCTGAGCTGCACAACTTGACCAAAAGGAAAACTTACGAAGGCGAAGAAGTCGCTTCTCTCGTCCTCGGTTCCACAGTTCATGTAGTTGGCAAGCTGCATGCGGTTCTGAGACACATCCGCAGCCGAGTATCCAACAGGAATCTTCCTGTAACCACGGTTGCCGATATACTGGCGCATATCACGAGTGGTGGCCTTGACATATTTGGCTGCCAGGGTGCTGTTGACCACATCGTTGATGACCTCGTTGCCCGAGAAGAAGGCAAGGGTGTTGTCGAACTTGGCAAACGCATCGATCGTGGCGAAAACGCTCTGGAGGTACTTGTCGTTGTACGACTGGTGGGGGTCGAAGCGGTTGAGCGAGTAAAGGGGACTGTTGGCGTCGATAACGACATAAATCCCGGCATCGGCCAAGAGATTCATGCAATCGTCGTGCTTCTTGGAGTTGTCCACCATGTAGACTCGAACGGTGTTGACTCCCATCTTCTTGAACTCAGCAACGTCGCGCTTGCACGTGTCGAGATCGGCCAAGGGATCCGTCATGCCGGACGATCCTCCCGGCTGGTAGTCGATTCCGCGAATATAGAAGCGCTCCTTGCCCTTCCAGAAGGCTATTCACAAAGAAATCAGTATCCCCGCTAATGTAAAGACGACATCTTCTGAAGCCTCGATCACTCACCATTTCCGGAGACTGTGACAGCAGGGAGATCAGCCCTCTTGTGCGGCTGCTCCTGCTCGGTTGGCGTTGGGCTCGCTGCACTGAGGCTGGCGATGGACGCCAAAGCCGACATCAAGCTGACAGACTTCATTTTGGCGCCGCGAATACTTTCGAGAGTTTGTGATACGTAGGCGAATAGACGGTAGCCGTGTAGTTTGCGCGTCGATAAGAATTATCGGCCAGTCTATTGGGATGGTGAGTCCAAAATGTGCCAGATAATGGTTGATTAAGTAAACAAAGTGAAGCAGAGATAATCAGAATAGAAAAGTATTGATGCGTGCGATCAAGAACAAACTGAACGAGGGGATTGGGCAAACAGCCTGTGTACTAATGAGGGGAAACCGTTTCAAACACGGAAATGTTGTTGAGAGTGGAAGGTGCTCTTGGAGGAAAGGGCAACTGGAGTGAAACGAGGAGGGGGAGGAGCACATAAAAGCAAGCCGTGTCACCACAAGGGATCAGGAGGTCGATTGCCAGCCATTCAGATTGTTGGTAAGCGCATTGCTCATCCCTTCCCGTGTCCCTTCACAAGAATGACCGAACGGGCAAGTTCCCTGGTGCAGTGGGGTTGCAGTGGTGATCAGACCGGTATAGGTACCTGGCATTAGACATTTTGGACGTATAATGGCTGATGATTCAAGGTTTGTGGATTGGTAGAGTCCCAGTCATTGTTCCGGAGGGAAACAGATTGACGGGATGTTCAAGATTTACCTGCTTCTGTTTCATGTTTTTCCACTGCCAGCGCAGACCTTTAACTTTTGTGGAAGGCTGTGCAACTCTCTCCTGCATATCACTCGAGATCAACATCCACGCATCGAGAAGGGATCTTCTGTCTTGCCTCGAGGTACACTCTTTGCAGCATTTCTTTTCTATCACAAGTATAACGAATTTCATTCGATATGCAAGCCATTCAGCGTGGTACTTAGTAGTCTAAAATAATAATAGAACAAGCCGTCGAGGATACCTAACTCGGGCTCCCCGAGAACATGTAGTCTCCGGGACATGTGGGACGAGAGTCACCCACCAAAGCGCTAAAATCCAATTGGCAAGGAGGACACCGATTGCCTGACATACAACCGTCTTGCTGTGTTCTTTGTTCCGTTTGCTGTAGGGAACTCGTTTCAGCATTCCGTGGGTAAACAAATATGGCCGAGTTCTGCTGGACCTTTACTCCGGAAGTCGAGTCTCCAAATGGTCAGGCTCGTAGTAAGAAGCGAGTGTACGCTTGGACGACACAAGGCACGAACTGTGACCTAAGCTCCCAAGAACGGATCTGGTACCCGAAACAGTGGCGCCCTCGGCAAAAAAGCTTGAACTCACGAACAATGCACAAGCTTGAAGCTTTTTGGATGGTGTGTGACTTTCGACTAGAGAAGACCGGAGATGAATTCCATGGAAAAGGTCCATGCACGATGCACCAACTACGTCATACCGTTTCAGGAACCTGTGTTCTTGGCAGGGGTACCCCAAACAACCAAAAAGGGGTAACGAACGAGAAGGGAGAAAAGAAGAAGCAAAGCTGACTACCAATCAAGAACACTCCTATACCAACGTCGCAGTTGAAAACTGATGTACAAATAAGGGCCCATGAGATCTTCTCAGGTCCCCGAGGAATGTAATTAAAGGTTTTCCCGTATCCATGGGGTGATAATCGAATCCAATCTTCACAGCCAGACCGGTGAGCTATCGCATCGCATCGCCGAGGCCAGTCTGGTGTCAAAACGAACCTGTCTTGAGCCCTGATAAGCGCACCGAGAGGTATACTAAACAGCCTGGACGTAGTTCGCAGGGACACTCTTTGTCACTCCTCCCTTCTCCACCTCTGCCCACCCGTCTCCTTGGTCCTCCTTAATCAGAACGAACCTCTCGCCCACAGTCATGCTATGCTCCGTGTCGCTACCAGCCTGGTAATCGTACAGCGCCTCAACATACTGCAGCTTCTTGGCTCCACGTCTTGGGGCCACCGCAGGTCCCTTCTTCTTCGTCGATGCCGCGATGGATGAGCCGCTGTTGGAGTAAGTCGATGGTGGCCGGCCCGATTGGCCCGTGTGCTGTGGTACGAGAGCCGTAGGAGTGGATGGTGGTAGTATCTCGACGTATGATGTCGGTACATTGCCTTCCTTATAGCCCGCCCGCACCCTTGTCCACCCGCTTCCCGCTAAAAAGTGTGTGAGCTACTCGTATCAATCATGCCATGGGCAACGGTACTTACTATCTGGTTCCAAGACCACAAGTTCTCTTCCCTCGGGCACTGAAAGTTCGCCTTCAGCTCCAGCCTCGAAGGTATAAAGCATCTTTGCCTTCTGTTCCTGATGGCCCCCACCATTAGGGGCGCTCCCTGGCAGTTCGCTAATGAATGTCGGGGGTGGCGGAGCCAGGATACGATTCGTCCGGGGTACACTAGACGGTGTTGGTAAGGCTGCCGGTGGCCTTGTATTAGGGACATCTGGAGGGGTATCGTCGCCAGGCGAAATGGGCCCGGAAATCGATCTTTGAGCGCTGGCCGCATACCCAGAACGCACCGAGCTGGCTGTATTTGACCGAGTAAGAT